AGCGTTCTGCGTGATGCTTCCTCCACGAGGGAGGCTTTTCCCAGCGTGTCCCGACACACCCACTATCGGGTCCACCCTGCCCTTGGCCGTGGGGCCGGCTTTATCTGACATCTGCCCTCTTGAAGATTCTCCAGGGTAAACTCACAGGCAGGTGTGGACCCGGGGCTGTAGCTTAACGACTTGGAGGGCCCTCTTCAAGGAGAGGAGTGCAAAAATCCGAGCAAACTTTACAAGAGAGTGTGGCCCTGTAAAGCCATTTCAGGGGCTTGGAAGGGGCCTGTGTGAGGGGCCGGGCTTGGCCCCCGTGGGCTCCACGGCTGATCCCTGCAGACGGGGACACACTCGGCCCTCGTCCTTTGGCCAAAACTCCCTTCCCTGTCTCGGTACCCTAGAATTCCCCCCACCCCCACTCTGCTTTCAGTTCATCCGAAATGATGTCTGACTGGCGGCTCTGTCACCTCCCCAGGGAGCTGTCCCTAACACCATATATTTGGTGGCTGTCCCTGCTGGGTTCCTACAGCCTGTGACCTCTGGGAGTTAGTGCCATTCAGTGGGGAAAAGGCAAGTGATGGATCTGGACACATTTGGACTTGAAACCCAGTTCTGCCACTTACTAGGGCTGTGACCTCGAGCAGCCACTTAACCTCTGTGCTCCTGTTTCTTGGCAGTGAAGGCAGATTCCTTGATCTGATCTCACAGACTGATTTCTGGGGTTCTTTTGGTCTCAGAATTCTCAGATTTCGCCTGGGCTACTTATTTTAAGAGACAACTGAACTGAATGTTCTCATCTTTCTAAATTGAAGACCTAAACGTGACACCCTCAGCTTCCTGGTGCCGCTGGGGCAGAGTCCGCACTCTGTCCAGCTGCCCAGAGGTCCTGGGGGTCTGGCTGCAGCTGCCCTGGGCACCCTCTCCCTCCGGCTACACTGACCTCCTCTGGTTCCCGCACACGCCACGTCCCCTCCTGCCACAGGGCCTTTGCATGTGGCGTTCTCTGCCTGGGATGCTCGCCAGGGCCAGTGCCCACTTGGCCTCCAGCTTCCGCTGCATAAGGCCACCCCAGGGGCATCTCTGACTCAGGCAGGTAGTTGCGGGGGGTCCCCTGTGACTGCACTGGGAGGCTTTCCTCAGAGCTCCTCCTTTGCTCTGCAACTGCCCCTTGGTGGAAGGGGGATCTTGGTGGAAGGGGGCCACGG